TCCTTTTACGGGGGAGCTGGAGGGGAGGAAAGGGCACAGGGAGGAGCGGCGGCACGGTGGGGGCGGCAGGGAGAAGGGTTTCCTGGGCAGCAGTATGAACGCGGTTCGCTACCGGCGTTTAGCCTCGGGCGGTGGGATCTCCCGGTGGTTTCCCATCCCGTGCACACACACCCCCCGCCCCCGCAAGCTGAGGAAGGCAGAGGGTGGCAAGGAGGACGCGGCTGCTTGTGAGCGGTTGGGAGAACTCTTTGGCTGACCAGCCTGTTTCCTTCCTGGGCTTTTCCTCTGGCAGATTCGGTCGCCTGCGAAGGCCGCGCCCTGCTCAAGAGCTTCGTAGCAGCTGCGGCACAACGGTGAGCGAGGGGCCTTGAGGGCTTGGTCCCAGCCCAAAGACTGGCTGCCCACCAACTGTGGGAGCCCTAGATCTAGGGGGAAATGACCCCAAATCAGCCACCTTCAGCCTTCCCGTGCTGTTGGGGGATGATGAACGTTGTAGTCCATATTTCTGCAGATGTCCTCCCTCCCCCCACTCTGTCACAGGCCCCCACCCCAGGCCCTTCTGGTGGGAGGAGGGCTAAGGCTGCCCCTGATGTCCCTGGCCAAAGATGGTCCCCATTCTGCCTCCAAAATCTAATCCTCTCTCTGGTCTCCTTGCCCCTGAATTTTCTTTCCACTGAGGAGTGTGAAAACGGCTGCTGCCCTCAGCTGGGTGACCAGCTCTTGCTTCTCTTCACTAGGGCAGAGACCGTCCATGTCCTCAGCTTTGAGCTCCCAGAGTTGGAATTCAAGGCTGGGCTGAGCGCCGAAGTGACCCCCCGGTGAGTCCCAAGCTTCGTGTGTGTGTGTGTGTGTGTGATTTGAAAGTGGGGGAAGGCACTGTGAGTCAGCCCAAAATTTAGGCAAACGCTGTAGACTTTGGCTCCAGCAGTTCTGAAGTGAGTTGTGGTTTACTCCACTCAGCTTTCTGGAATTGCATGGGTTGGTCAGTTTGCAGTTCAGTGTGTGGTACAGCCAGCAGGATCTGGATAGATGGTCCTTAAACCCAGTCCTTGACTAGACATGTTTTTCCTTGGGCTTTAGCACACTGCTGACTGCGGCTCTTGTTCTTAATATTGTTGCTTTCCCGTAAAGACAGCTTTCAGTTCCGGCAAGCAAAGCCATGAAGGGCAGACATTGGCAGGTGGAAAGGCTGCAGTGGACGAGGTATTGATGTAAACTGTGTGGGAGGAGGCATTCATGCACACGAGCTAGGCTGGAATTTTGTGTTCTCTTGTGATGAAGGAGGCTAATTTTAGGGGTGTGTTGAAGTTTTTCCATTTTCAAATAGAGAAAATGCACGCAACTGACTTTGGGTCAGATTCATACTGGGAAGTCAGAGTTTCTCTAGGAGCAGAGACTGCAGTTACACTTCATGCTCACCCGCGGATAATTGAATTAGTCCAATGTTCTGGGTTCATGCAATCATCCAGCCGTAAGCCAACTGCAGGGACTGGGTCTGTACATCGTTCCGAGCTCCGAACCAGTCTAGTGTGTTATTTGAACCCGACCGAGACCGGTTGTGGATACAGACATGGGTGTGTGCACATACCACACCAGTGACCCGTTTACTTCCTTTTATTTATTTATTTTTTTTTATGGGATCTGGTTGACCCCGTGCCAAAATCAGGATCAGACAGAAGGAGTGTTAGCAAGAGAAGCATCTGTAAAATTAATGAGTCATGCCAAAACTTCAAAAAAAAAAAAAAGCAGCTTTGGAAGAAGCGGCGAAGGGAAAAGATTCTGATAGCTGGGCTGATCCGCTTTCCCTGTTCCAACTTAGCAGTGCTTGTGTGTGTCCGTGTGTTTGCCAGTGGTGCTGCACAAAGCCGAGGTTGCCAATAAAGATAACCCGCTTTCTTCCAGGATATTGTTTCATGATGCTTTCCGAGATCCTCTTGGCTGGTCGGGGAGGGGCAGCGGCCTGACCCTGGGAGAATTCTCTGCCTCCGAGTTGGCGGCCCGCCTGGCCGCAGCCTCACAGGGGTCCGCCACGGTGGTGCTGGACTCCCTCAGCTGGCTGCTGCTCCGCCTCCCCTTTCCCTCCGTCTGCCAGGTTCTGGCGCAGCTGCCCAGGAGAGCAAGTGCTGTGGGTGAGCAAACAGGGATGCTTTGGGGTTGAGAAGGGAGGCTGCTGATCATACTGGCAGCAGCCTCCTTCCAGTCTGCGTGTTCACTTCTAAAGCAAGTGGAAACCCTTGACCGTTTTGTGTACTTGAAAGAAACCTGAATAATTATTGTTAGGGGCAGAGGACCCCAATCCTTTTGCTGCTGAGGTGGGAGAAAGGCAAGCCTTCAGGCTCAGTTTGTGGGCCAAACACAGTTTTCAGTGTCGCGTAAATCTGTTTATGTGGCTGCTAAGAGCCAACACCCACTTGATGACGCATAATCAGTGAATTAAGTTTCTTTGAATTTATTTCCTAAGAAAGCTCATTTTTAGGGCTTAATATGCGGCAGGATTTAATCTCCCCCGCCTTCCATTCCTCTGTTCTCAGACAGAGTCTGATAAGGATCCATGCAGCGCTTAAGGAATGACCAGCCAATGTCCCGCTAAGGCTCCTTTTCTCTGCAGGGCTGAAAATTGTCCGATGCGTGGCACTCCTCCATGGCGATTTGCACCCGCCTGCGCAGCAGGACGTCCTGAAGGCCCTGGCCCGCCTTGTGGTGACGCTGCAGCCAGCACCACGGTCTGGGCAAGGCGGGGATGGGACTCCCCATGCAGCTGTTGTCTTCCATAGAAAGAGGGGGAGCAAGTTTTTCCAGAAGGTGAGAATGCTCAAACTTGAGGTACACAGGTGCAGATTCTTTGACAGATGGGGAAGACAGCACAGGCCGCCGAAGGTTGGTTCGGTAGACAGGAATCCAACAAAGTTTCTTGCCATCCAGTGTTAAGTGAGGGTGTAGATAAGAGAAATGGAATTTTTCACTGCCCCCCCCCCTTTTTCTTTTTCTGGCTGCACCCTGAGATTAATTGTTTAAGTCCAACTCTACTCTTGTTCTTTAGATTTCATGTAAACGTAACCTGGGCATTTGGGAAGGAGCTCAAAACAAGCAGTTGGTATGCAAAATTGCTGTTGTAACCGTGAAGGCTAGGAGGAGTCCGTCTGCTCCTCCCCAGTACAGCTGCCTGGCTATAACAAAAGCACGCACAGCTGTGGTTAGGTAAGGAAGAGAGAATCACGTAGTGGTGCAAGCAATGGCTAGACTGGAGTGTCGTGCGACCCAAATCAGCATCTAATGATGGCACAGGGTCGTGGCTTCGGATCTCTAAAGCGTTTATATAAACATGAATATTTGGAAGAGTTTATTTTATTTATTTTATTTATATATATTTATATATATAACAAATGTGTATGGCTGCCCAACTCACAATGGTGACTCTGGGCAGTTTACAGAATTAAAACCCACAAAAAAAATAAACCCCCTACCCCCTGGCAGCAACAAACACATTCAAATTAACCATTTGATCAGCTCCGTATCAGCTTGGGGCCCCCAGGCCCACTGACAAAACCACGTCTTCGGGGCCTTTCGGAGAAGTATCAAGGTGGGGGCCAGTCTTGTCTCTGGGGTAATGATACTCCATAGGGAGGGAGCCACCATGGAGAAGGCCCGTGTTTGTGCTTGCAAAGAAGTTGGGCTTGCAAAGGAAGGCTGAAGCAGGTTTTTCTGATCTCCCTCCACCCCCACCCTTTCTGCCCTTCCCTCCCCAGAGAGAACTCTTCACCATCCTCCCAGGATTTGTTTTCAAATTCCTTGGCGAGCTGCCACCGAATGGTGTTTCCAGAGAGGACGATGCAGAGGATGGCCGGGGACCAACCGCAGTACGTGCCTTGCTGGTCTTCAGAGAGGGAGCTCCCAGCTTTGGGCTTGTGAAAGATTTAACTGGAGCAGGGGTTTGGTTGGGGGATTAGGGTGGGTTGTTTGTCAGAAACAATAAAATCGGGGGGGGGGAGTTTCACTGAGAGCTCCACCAAATACTTTAGAAAGAATGCAATAGATGAACACGTTCCACGAGTTCCCAGATAGAATTTCAAGACTTCAGCTCCCAGAATTCCCCAGCCAGCAAGGGTTAGGGTTAGCAGGGCTGGCTGGGGAATTCTGGGAGAAGAAGCCCACACATCTTAAAGTTGCCAAGTTTGAAAAACATTGGGCTAAACCTACCCAGTTCTTTTTAAATGCTCTTCATAGGATTTAGCCTTCAGGGTCTAACTTCCTTTGGCCCCCAAGGCCTAAAACATCTGGGGCGGTGCTCTTACACCAGATTGCTGCTTTGGCACGGGGAGATGTTTTCCTTGTTCCATGACTTATTCCAGTGATGCTCTTCCACGTTCCCCGTCGCTTGCACTGAATGCCTTTTATCTTGGGATCTTTCCAGGCTGATCCTACTGCCGATCTGACCTTCAACCTGCGCCTCTCGGAAGCCGAGCGCCGGGCCAGGGAATCAGTGCCTCTCCCGTACCACTTCAGCGAGGAAAAGTAAGGACCTTTTGTATTTTTCTCTCACATATTCTGGATATTTTGCAATGACAGAAGCTGCTCTGCTGTTGCAATAGAAGTGTACGAATGTGACATCTTAACAGAGTGAAAACTCAATTTAACGGACCCCATTTGGCAGCCTCTGGGTGCATCGGACCAAATTTCACTTGGGACATTCCTTCCAAAGGAACAGAGAAATCTGGTGCTTCCAAAGTAGTCCAGATGAGGCAGTTAGATTTGTGCCCTGTGGGTAAAGACGTAATGATGTGAATGGCCGCAAATGATACAAAGTGAGATTTAAGAGACGTTTGGGGGTGACAGGCACCATCTCGACCCAACTGGTCCATTGAACCAAGGTTTCACTGTATTTTTTTTCTTGTCAAGTATCCTCGCTTTTCGTGACGAATAGCGTAGTCATTTCAAAGGTACCCTTGTCCAACGTAGCACTCTCCACGTGTTAGATCAGTGTTTTTCAAACTTGGCAACTTTAAGACGTGTGGATTTCAACTCCCAGAATTCATCAGCCAGCATGCTGGCTGAGGAGTTCTGGGAGTTGAAGTCCACATGTCTTAAAGTTGCCAAGTTTGTGTTAAGACCACGGTCCCATTGTTCTCAGCCAGCATGGGCAGTGGACAGTGGTTGGAGAAAGCACACCTAACTTTGAATCTTGCTTCTTTAGAACCTCTTTGGACCTCAAGACCCTGTTTCAGGGCCCTCTTGAGTACTCTTGGATTTGGGGGGGAGGGACTACTGGTTTTGACAGCATGGTTTTTCTCCTTTTCTTGTGCCCCAAAGGTGAAAGATAGCTGCATAAAGCCTGCAGTGGCAGTCAGAGGCTGATAACATGATGGGTGCCCGGCTGCAAAAGTGGCTGCTCGCTGCCTTAGTGGGATGTGTGGACTCAGCCCATCTCTTTTTCTCACCCCAATCTCTCTTCGCATGTCTGTTCCACTCCACTCTGCCAGCATCTTCCCAGGCACCCAGTTATCCTTACCTTCTCTCTGCTCCTGCCTTTTCTTCCAGATGCTCAAGGTGGCATACAGGTGGTTCTTTTCATTCCCAAGTACCTCACACCCTCTTGAGGTGGCCTTGAAGGCTTTGATTATTCCTGCCACTATACTTCGTTGCCCTCACCTGTTTTCTGCTTAACTCACAGGAAATCCTCCCTGCTGCAGACGTCCACGGAGGAAGCCAAGATTTACTATGAACCAGATGCTGCCGATGACTTTGACGAAGAAGATCCCGACGATGACTTGGATGTGTGAGAGAGAAATGGGGAACTGGCTGTTTTCCGTCTGCAAATGATCTGGACCTGGAATCATCTAAGTTGCCCTTGGGGGGCTGCATTCCTTTGCAACTTGGTAATCATGGGGACAGAACCCATCAGCCCCCGGGAACGGTCTTGCACGGCAGATCGGAACATGGTGCTCTCTGGAGAGGAAAAACAGTCCAGATCTGCTTCACCTGGGAAATAACATGTCACAAGAAGGGCAGATGGGTTGGAGCCTGGCCCTGATGATAAGCCTTTGTTGAAGGGGATGGGTATCGGGAAGAGTGATCGGGTATCGCCCGTCCTTTTGAGGAAGGAGAGATTTGCAGCCAGAGCAAATAAACCGTTTGAATGCCGATAGCACTGGCTTTGTGTGACTCTTAATACGAAGACAATAAATGATCACCATGTTCAAATATTTCCATGCGTTTTAATATTTTGTAATGTAGTACTGTGCATTTATAAAATCGCTCGGAGGGGTGACTTAAGGAACTCAGTGGCTGCATCTGAGTCTTTTGGGGAATATAAACACTCTAGAGTAGTGTTTCTCAACCTCGGTGACTTTAAGCCGTGTGGACTTCAACTCCCAGAATTCCCCAGCCAGCATGGCT